ACCTCTGGGAACACAGATAGTAATGTCCACTTCTGCTCTATATATTTTTGCTACTCACTATTTATAAAATACTCATTTGGGAAATTAAGTTGGATTTTATGCGTGCTACGAAATTAAACTGGGTGTTTTCCAGTTCTCATGGTTCTTCATCAGTTATGAAAAAAAGCATATCTCTAAAGGTGAAAGTTAAAATCACTCGGACTCCTAAGACAAATTATTGAATAATAAAACACTCTCCAAACAATGCTTGGAGTGACATTTCTCTGAGGAACATGTCTGTTGTTTTTGTCAAAGTTATTGCTGTATTTTAATAACAGGGACCATTTGTGAAGGATGAATACTAAAGTGCTTTAACATAATCTCAAATGATATGTAATGTTGATATATAGGAATATATAGGAATAGTGGTGACAAAGTAGAAAAATAGTGTTACTTTATGTGATGCATTTTTTTTCTGTGAAGATTTTTGTTACATTCATGAAGAATGTTACATTCATAAAGAACATTTCTTTTGCCACTGTTTCTATCATGGTAAATTTAAATCCTTAATTCCTAAAAGATGTGGGAAGGGCCATTTCTGGGTATTATCAAAAATGTTTTTGTGATGCTGACTGATGCATTGATTTCTTTGGAATTGTAATAGTTTGTCATATAATCAATATTTAGGACTTAAAACAAGAAACTAACATAATTGTGAAATACAGGCAATTGTTTTAAGGAACGAAAACAAAAAAAATATTAACCCAAAATTTTGAGTGCATAGAGCCATTTTCCCATATAATTCGATGATAATTTTGAGGTCCTAAGGGGGCACTATAAACACATAATTGCCTTCTTCTGACAAGCACTGTGCTACTTAAGCAACACTTTATCTTTCCTTTTGATTTTCTAACGATTAAACCATTAAGCATAAAATACTGACTGATTTCCAAAAAAGATGTATGGTTCTTTTTTTAAAATAAATTTGCCATGTTAAAAATACATAAACACATATATGTGATACACATATATATAGTTATACAATCACAAATCACAAATCACAAATGTATTTGTATAATGGACACAACCAGAACACCTGGATTTCATCCAGGTTTTATTCCAAATTACTGGCCGGGCTTTAGACGAAACACTTGACCTTTTTAGTCTTCACTTTCTTTGTAAAATGAAATGCTTTGACTAGTAGATATGGAATCCCCTTTGAGCTCTGACTACCTATGACTTTATGCCATTAAGAGGTATGCATTATAGACATATGTGTAGAAAAAGACACTTTTTGGATCTTCAGAAAAATTTTATGGTCATAGAAATTGTTTCTCTCCTCTCCATATTAGAAAAAAAGAAGAAGAAAATACTGTTGATAGTTTTCCATTATACTGTCACATTCTCTTCCCTGCAGCTATAATAACTATATAATGATACTTGATACATTCTTATTAAAAAATGTGGATGTCTTACATATGAACAAATGATTCTTTTTTTTTTTTTCTTGGAGAGAGAGAGAGACAGACAGAGTGTGAATGGGGGAGGAGCAGCGAGAGAGAGAGGGAGACAGAATCGGAAGCAGGCTCCAGCCTCTGAGCTGTCAGCACAGAGCCCGACCCAGGGTTCGAACCCGTGAACTGTGAGATCATGACCTGAGCGGAAGTCAGGCACTTAGCCAACTGAGCCACCTAGGTGCCCCAACAAATGATTCTTTATCTAATTATATCATTTTAAAAATTTCAGCACAAGATACAGAAAAGAAGAAGAAGACATAATATTTCTATCATATAAATCCATATATAGGCCATATATTCTTCCCTTCTGTAAATCAAAACAAAAAGTGGTGGTGTTGATAAGCTCCCCCCAATATTGCTTTTTAATATAAATTTCCATTTCTTAGCTAAATTTTCATGGTTAGTATTTTAAATCATACTTACAAGTTTAAATATAGCTTTACTATATTTAAATGGAAATGAAAGAGAAATGGTTTGTTTGTTTTTGATATGTTGGTTTGTTTTGAATAGTCTTTAAAAAGAATGTTTAGAGAAGTGCTCAAAGCAAAAGCCCAGAATCAAAAGTTGATTAAATGGCGGTTAAATGATATGCTCTTCAAAAATGTATCTGTTGCCATATTCTTACTCTTATCACGCTCACAGGTACTTCAGCTTTTAAAAGTATATTATTCAGCAAGTAGAAAAAGTTATGAGACATTTTCATTACATATTACATGCATTTTTAAAGGCAGTAGGATTCATTTTTCAAGCTTACACTTAATGGGGAAAGCAGAATCAATACATAAAAAAATAAAGAATATGAGAAGAATCAAGACAAGTATACAGTAAGATATATATGTATAAAATATATAATATTTACAGATATGTAAAGTATATGTATACATGTAATATGTGTATGTATAAAAATAGCAGTAATCCACCATAACTAAAATGCCCAAGACATTTTTAAATGTTTGAGATGAACAAATGGGTTTGGTTTGTGATGTTCATAGTTTGCGTTATCCTACTTTATTCCTTGTTCTTCAGCCCTTCAGGAGAACTTTTGTCAGTATCTTATGATACACCAGATAGAATTCTGGGCTGTGCGTTTAAGGGGATGAAAAGAGTAGCCACTACCTTCCAGAAATGTGTGCAAATAAATAATTAATTACATATAGCGTACTAAATTCTGTGTTAGAAATAAACTTAGAGTCCTGCCGGAATATAAATAAGACACATTCAGCGTATGGGGGCATTTGGGGAAATTGAGAGATATAAAAGAGGGCTTCATAGTAGACGAGATCCTTGAACTGAAGCTTGAGGAGGAATTGATGAAAGTTAAAGCTCCAAATGGCAGGGATGGGCAAGTAAGAAGTGGGGAAACAGCGTCAAGGTGAGAGAGGGTGTTCCAGTTGGAGAAATACAAATAGTTCAGTATGCCTGAGTGTGTGGGAAGTGGTGGAGGATGATACTGAAAATATTGGTTAAAAGGACATGGCACTTGAAGGGTTCAGAGAGCAACTAGACTATTTAAGCTGGGGAGGGATATTACTGGAGGGCTGTGAAAGCCACTGAGGCAGAGAGACCATTTTGCAGACAAAGAAGTAGAGCTTGATGGATATGAAAGAACACATCTGAGACATGTTTAGGGGGTAAAATCAATGGGAATGTGTGAGCAACTGAATTTGAGGGTGTGAGAGAGAAACACGGGACAATTCTTAGATTCTGGTTTGAGGGATAGAGATGATGACAATGACTGAGATCCCATCTACTGACTGAGAAGAGAATTTGCCAATGAAGCCTGAGAGAGATCTGTCCTCTAGAGAGAGATTTAGGGTTATGAGTATACAAGCATGTAATTGATGGCAAAGAATATGATTATGCATTAAGGGTTTAAAAAAAGGAGAAGATTAAGAATGAGATGATAAATGTGGGGATGTCTGGTCAATCAAGGAAGAGACAGGACCACAAAAGGCAGTAACACACAAGCCTTTTCGGGGGGTGGTCTTGGACAGAGTTGCATGATGGGAAGTCTCTCCCAGCAACAGTGCCTCCAGAGATAACAGCTCATCCAGGGGTGCTACATCCAGAAGAGAGAGAGGACAGGGGACTCTTGGGGAGAATGGGAAAATAGAGAGTGGGCTTACTTATCTAGGTGACATCCCTCAGTGGCCAAGTGGGAAGACTTGGTTCAGAAAGCTCCAAAGGGCAGCAACAATTTGGTATCTGTCATGGCGATGGGATTTGTTTCATCTCTGGTTTACACATGATGGGTTCAACTTCTCAGAGTATGAAAAGTAGATGGATTCTAACTGGTTAAAAATATACATATTAAAATTAATTTAAAGCAATTAGATGTGTGAGAATTTGAGTTTGGTGCTGTCTGGCTTTGGGCTAATCGTCATAGCCTGCTGTGAAGAAGAAAACGATATGGGGGCCACTTTAAGCTAATACACATGTGCCATCTTGGGCCGATTTATATAGTAGGGTCCTGGGAAGGAAAACAGCTAAAGAAGTAGAGAGAGACAGCAGATCCTGGGAGAGGAGACTGAGGAGCATCCAGGAAGGGATGAGTAAAGCCTGCAGTGTGGAGTTCATGAAGTCAAAGGAAAAGAAGATTCCAAGAGCATAGGATGGTGTAAAGAGTCAAATGCAACATAAAGAATAAATATAATAAAGTCTGAATTGTGTCCACGGGCTTTGGTCATTGCTGTTATGGGCAGAGGTGGGTAGGTGGGCCATATTTGAGGAGCAAATGAGAGGACAGTAAATGTTTTTTTATTTTGGGAGAAGTTACCAGAAAGAGAAGCAACTACAAAAGCAATGACATGGGTGAGGGAGTTACAATGAAAGAGTGAGCAATTTTATTTTTGTTTTCATTTTAGTATTGAGCCAAGAAAACGGAGTTGTTGAATAAACAGGTGTTATACTTATATTATTGTGTAACAAACCTCCCAAATTTAGTGGAATAAGACAACAACTCACTCATGGAATTTATTCTCATGGATTGAGTGGGAGAGCACAATGGTGGTGGCTTGTCGCTGTCACTTGGTGTTTCCGGTGTCAGCTGGGAAAACTCAGTGGGCTAGGCTGACTCAAAGCCTGGGGGCTGAAACAGCTGGGAGAGAGGATTCACTGCTGAAATGAGGGATATGGAATTTGGGGAGTAAATATGCTATCATTTTTACTTAATTCAGAAGGAAGGAGGAGTCTATTGAAAATGGGATATGAGGTAGGAGACTAGGGGAGAAATGTGACAATTTGAAATATCTTCTAAAAGGAGAGACATTGGAAGTCACTCAAGCCCAAGAATTTTTGGGTGATATTTAAGGTTCAACGAAAGTTTTGAGTGTGTAGTTTCAATAATCTATGCAATTGCATTATTTTCACCTATATGCTATGCTAGTAGAGAGTGGTAGCCAAGCAATTTCCTGGGTTCAGAAGAGTCCGATTATACCCCAGCCCATCTTTAGATATTTTTCCTCTTTGTAGATTTATATGTATCTGGAGAAAGAAAAGCAACAGCTAGACTTTAAACAAAGGAATGAAGAAGGGATACTTACCTAAGCAAAGAGTTGTGAAAAGGTCTAATGTTAAGCCTGAGATTTGGGGAGTGGGGCAAGATGAACTGTCAGACATACTTGTCATAGACGATACAAGTTTCAGAGGTGGTGTTCACACTTGCCCTTCTCACTAGCTATTCCTACTCCATGTCTTTGAGAGGAGATATGAAGTGAATAGTGATAAAAATCAAAACAAATGATAGTAACAATGGCAAGCTCTGTTCATTATACCATGTAATAAATACATAATGTGACACTTTTGTAAAATAACATTATACTTTTGTTGAATGTCTGAAGGATGTCTGATGAGGTGAGATCTACAGTAAAATGTTTGGATATTTACTAAATAATTTTAAGAGTCTAGTCCTCTATAGTCTTATTCTGACAGATTTAAAAAAGATACTCTCAATCTGTGGGCTATGTGACTGAATGAGAACTTTCTTGAAGTGCATTCCCATTTCTAATCAAGAACAAATCCATAAATATTACTTAGTTCCTCTACACAAGGAATATATTGAATTGTTTGCCTACATACCTGTATAGTAACATTTTAAAGAAAATTTTCACTCCTTTCTGCTAGTTAAGTCCCCAAAACAATTAATAATTCTTAATTAGTTAATCCAATGAATCCAATTGAATTAAGTGATTGTATTGACTATTTGATTGTACTAACCAATTTAGTCAAAACTCTTTACCCCCTATATTTCATTGGTTTTAAGATGAGGACTTTATTAAAAAAATATTTTAGTACTCTCACTTTGAGATTCTTTTATAATCGATTGTGTGTCATTGCTTTACTTGAAGCATTTTCTCTCTTTCTCAGTGGTCCATAAAATAATGCTGCAATCTATATTCTGTGACATCATCGATTCACATAAATGCAATAGGTAAGTTACAGAAAGAAGGAAAAACTGACACCTAATTAATGCATAGACTATGAACTGATTCACCAGCATGGTTCATATTAAGTTTTACCCCAGTGGAATTTTCTCCTTACAATATCATCTACGTTCTAGTTTTCCTATGTAGTGTTAATGCCTATCAAGATTTAGCTGAGCGATAATTTATGACAATTTTCCTGTATCAAGGCCTAATAGCATTTTAGAAACTTTAATTAACTCTTGGAGCAGAAATTCATCAAGAGACCAATAAAGTAGTTACAATGGATAAATTCCAGCAGCAGGTAGAGTGATACACTTTTATCTAGGCAGTCATTGAATCATGCAATTTAAAGGGCCAGACCATTTTCTGGATGATAAAACTAAGGTCTACAGAGATTTAATGAGGAAAGCCTATTCTTCTGTTTAAATGACAGAACAAAAGACTTGCCCAAGAGAACATGAGAACAGGTCATTAATTTAATTCTCCTAGTCATGGTTTATAGGTCAGAATGCTATGAAATTTCAGAAGGCAATACACAAAATGGAAAACTCTCTCCCTAGCGAAGAGGTTTTATCTAGTTTGAATTCCAAATAAGAAAGTATAAAACTGGCTGTTCATTTAAGAGTAGAAAAAGAATTTCTTTATTTCACACATATCTTCTCTTTAATACATCTTTTGAGGAATTCACATTACTCTTTAACACATGTGTTCTGAGGAACTCAGATTATGTGATTTGAAACCTTCCATAAGAGTACATTATATAAGAGGATCTTATGTTGCATTAGGTTATCATACTATCCTGAATTTTTTTATTTTACACTTTTTAAAATTTTATTTTATTTTACATTTTACACTTTGAAAAAGTACTTAGTAAATGATACTCCTGGAGAATTATACAATTTGCTGCTGTTGGTGAGCATTTCAAAACTTGTTTTTGCATTACAGAATTTGACATAGAAAAGTCTTTGAGACCAATGAACTTTCAAAGAATGGTATTTAGGGGCGCCTGGGTGGCGCAGTCGGTTAAGCGTCCGACTTCAGCCAGGTCACGATCTCGCGGTCCGTGAGTTCGAGCCCCGCGTCGGGCTCTCGGCTGACGGCTCGGAGCCTGGAGCCTGTTTCCGATTCTGTGTCTCCCTCTCTCTCTGCCCCTCCCCCGTTCATGCTCTGTCTCTCTCTGTCCCAAAAATAAATAAACGTTGAAAAAAAAATTAAAAAAAAAAACAAAAAAAAAACAAAGAATGGTATTTAATATTAATATTTCAAGAATGCAGCTTTATGAATTTGCCTTATGGGGGACACTTTATGGCAATTCAGTTAGAAAGGTAAAATACAATGGCCATGTTTATTTGGGGCATTCTTGCAGACATGACTTTCTTAGCATTGTTGGGAAATACAGAAAGGAAAGTGTCTAATGAGTCCAGATTGTATTTTCAGCTCCAAAATATTTGCTGACATGGCACAAATGTTTACATGAAAATGTATTCTTCATGGAGAATTAAATTATGACATTTGTAATTCTTGGAGCAGAATAAAAATAGCCAGTTTGATGATCAAAACCTTGGGGCAAACTTGCTTCTCAGAATGTGACTTGAGGGAATAGAGTAGACAGGTGATTAGAAACCTAGAGTTATTACTCTTTAAAAGAATTTAAATTCCTAAATTATGCCTTATGTTTTCATCCTTAGTTCAAACAAAGAAAAGAATAAAAGAAAATATACTTGCCATTTTACTCTGTTTAACCAGTAGTAGGATTTTGTAAAATGTATGTTCCCATCTACTATTGTAGTTTATTTATTACATGACCACGATATTTTAAATCTTGATCATAATCCCTTTTCAACTATATAAAAATATGTCTAATGACAAATATTTTAGAAAGATTTCCTGGAAAAAAAAAAACAGATGTTTACCACACTATACAAATAAATGAGCTATGACTTATACTGAACTTTAAATACTGTTTATTTTGCCAGAGAAAGAAAACATATTTTAACAGTGTAAAGTTTAGGTCATTCCCTTTGTCTTGGAATTTTTTTTTTTTTTTGGTTTGAAGACAGAATGCAATCATAGTTGTTATGTAACAAAACGTTTATGCATATCCTAAGCAGTGTCCTGTATCTTTATTAGGAGCACTTTTTATTTTTTTGGCAGCTTGATTTGGAAGAAGTTTTATTCATCCTCACCAGTAAATAATGTGTGTGTGTGAGTGTGAGTGAAATACACAACTTTGGTTTTTCAAAGTGGAATACAACTATGTACAACATCTGAGATCAGTGTTATCAGTAGTGATCCTGAATCACCGGGCACCATGATGGCTTTGCTACCGTCAATGTACTCTGTGTACATTCCATTCTTTTCTTCCTAACGTTCAGTACAAGGGTAGATTAAGCACCGAGGAAATGGCATTGACTTTTTGACCACCAGGGAAATGTTCCGTTCAGCGTGCTCCCCTAAAAAAAGCAGCTAGGCACTGGGAACAAAACTAACTGCATTTTCTCAGTGGAAAGAAAGAAGGACAAAGGCCAGGCTAGCTCATCCGAGATTTGCTACTTTTGCTTTTGAAGGTCTTCTCTTTGTTCGCTTTTAAAATGGGGGCAAAAGAAACCAAAAAACAAAAAACTTTTCGGTACTGGTGTGAGAAATATACAAAGGTCACCAAAAAAAGCAAGGAACATATTAGTAACATTGTTGCGGTGAATTTCACATTTCCTCTTCTCCTAAATAACACCCCCTTTCAGTCTTGACTTGGGCTGACGCTCCAGCTTTTCAGCCGAGTAGAAGTTCGGCCACAAGATGGCACTGACCTGCAAACAAAGGAAAACAGTGGCTCTGACTTTCTAAAGCCCTGTGACATTGTCTTGCTTTCCTGGGAGTCCAGGACTGTGGGGATGAGTGCTTACTTTCCTTTGCACCGTGCGTCTGTGTTTAACAACGTGTGGATATGTTTAATTTCTCTTCATTCCAGAATTCCTAGGCAACGCACCCCCGAAGTGTATACCCAGGCTGAGGTGTTTGTGGGGGGAGCAGCAGGCGCTACTCGCGGGGCGCCGTCACGTGATCCGGGGATAAGGTGGAGTTCGGCTTTAAGGGGGCGTCTCTTCCTATCTTCATCAATCTTTAGGATTTGAGCAGGAGAAATACCAGCGGATCTTTTCTCCCGGCTCTATCCCTTCCATTACCATTCTTCCTGCTTTAATAAACGGGCGAAAACGACGAATCCAACAGAGGGTAAGTTTCAAGTTTACACCTTGTTAAGGACTTTTGAGGGGGTGGAGGATGAAAGACGAAGGAAAAAAAACCTGCCGAGTGCCCGGAATTGACTCTGGGAAACTGAGGTGGGGCATGGAGTCAGCTTTTCAGTTGGGCTCCCGGTGCAGGTAGGTCGCAAGGTGCTGCAGATGATCGGACAACTCCAAGAGCCCTGCCCATGGGTGGGGGCCGACGTTCGTAACCGGGAGTTGGCGGCATTCGTGCACCCTGCTCCGCGAGGATTTCCGGACGGGGATCTGAGTTCTTGCCTCTTCGGGTTCTCGTAAGGCTGTCTTCCCCTGACCTCGCTCATCTTCCACGGTTTTTTGGAGCTGGCTGCGCTAGAGGCTGCGCTGGAGTTTGAGCGGAGGGAACCGGTGGCTGGGATTGTCTGAGGAAGGGTGGGTTTGGCGAGTGACCACTAGCCACTTTGGTCCCCGTCCCACCGCACGTGTCCCGCGGGGGGCCCGCGGACCCCAGCTCAGGCGCGGCGCCCCCGGACACTTGTGGGTTCCCTGTGTCTGGGCTGGAATGGAGCCCCGCTCCGTCGGTGCTGGGCCCTTCCAGTCTGTCGCTGCGCCCCGGTAGACACACTGAGCTCTAGCCTTTTATTTCTGAGTTTCAGTCATCCAACTCTTCAGCTCCTTTTGGAACAGCGATGATGGAACTCGGCAGGGTTAAGAGATTGGGCATGGACTGGAGGTAGAGGTGGCTTCAGAGTGTTCAGTTGGTCTCTCCAGGTAGACAGGCGAATGTCTTAAGAACTGAAGTTGGTCCAGAGAGAACTGGCTGTGCTTCTTTTATTTCTGGTTGGTGTGGATGCTTTGTTTGCCAGTCTCATCACGGGTGGAGAGACCTTGATAGATGGCTGGCAAATGGAGGAGGGGGCCGGAAGTTTAAGAATGAGGAAAATCGGGGGCAATTCACCTAATTACACTGTATGAAAAAAGGTGGGCACGTAAACGTGGCAGCAGGAATTTTGATTTAACCAGCCCATTTCATTCTTTGGCAACTGCTGGAGCACAGGAAAAAGTTAGGGGAGGGCAAAGAGGGAGTGTGTTTTGACATCTCTTTTCTTTCTTCTCTTTTTTTCTTTCTTTCTTTTTTTTTTTCCAGATCGTTCAGATTTGCCATGCTTACCTGGGTCCTACGAAAAAAGCATATCTCACTAGGTGGCCCCCAGGCAGGGGGAAATGGAAAGCTTGCTTGTCACTACCTGGATAGAGAAACAGTATCTGTCAGTCCCAAGACTCTAGAATGCTTTCCTGGTAAAGAGAGCAGAAAGCTGTCCAGCCCAGTACCCCACCTATGACTAAAGACTAAGTGCTTTTCGGTGGGTGACTACTGCATTATTAGTCTCTTTCCTTATGGTTTTAAGGCAGCTGTCTGTTGAACCAGCCCTCCTGGGAGAGGAAGGAACGGAGAATTATGTAACTCATGTAGATAAACTAGCAGTAACTTTGGGAGGCTCTATGTAATAAGGCTGACATTTCTTTTCCAAAACACATAAGGTGAACAGCCAGTTGTGAGTATACAAAAAAATTTATCTGCTGCAGGTTATGACCAGAAACCTTGTATTTTCAGGTAGTAACAGCACTAAGAACAGCAAGCAGTGAAAGACCAGCATTCCAATTGGAAAGGATAAGGAAATTTCCCTTTGGAAGGGGGCCAGTTTTCCATCTGATGATGTAGGTAGTATTTCTATTTTGTCTCTAATTGCTCATGACCGCTATATTGAGATTTAACAACCTTTAATTTTTGCAGTGTCTTTAGTTGCATATCTTATTTTAAATATCAGAATAGTGAATGTCATTATTTTTCTTTTGCAAAGATTATGTGAATGCTTTCTCTCTGAGTAGTATTTGCTGACAACCGTTCTTTCTTGAAATTATACTAAGGTAGGTCGAAAATACACATTTTATCCAGTGCAGAAGGGTTTTACCAAACTGGAATGACTACCCAACATGCACTTAGAAAAGGAGGCTTTGCAAACACTTAAAAAATAGTTTGCATTTTGTGTATAGTTAAATTAGCATCTACTTAATAGAAAGACTGCTATTCCTCACAGAGCATGTCCATCAAATAATTCCAGAGGGTTCAGAGTTGAATTTCAGTATATTCACTTAAAACCATCTGCAGGAAGTGGCCTCTGTAGGCTGTAGTTGTAATGATTTGAAAACTTTTACATTAATTCCAGTATGTATGGAATTTTGTCAAAATAAGTCAATGGATTTAAATTTTCAATTTTTCTTCCTTTGCACTGTAAACACCTCAGTCTGGGCCTCCACTAGGTCTAATCTGGATTATTGTATTAGCCTCTTAATGAATCTCCCTACTTCTCTTTCCTGTCTTAAATCTGTTGAAAGCAGCAGCTACAGTAATAATGTAAAACAAGTCCTGTAACTTCACACCTTTGCCAAAGACTCCACTGGTTCCTCATTTTTCTCAGAGAAGAAGTCAGACTGTCCCATGAAATAAGGCCTTACATAATCTGTTCCTCTTCTGCTTACCCTTCCTAATTATTTTCCTACTAGTCTCTCTCTTACTTATCCTACTTATCATTGGTGTTTAATACACCAGGTAAACTCTGGCCTCAGGATTTTGCCTTTGTTCTTTCCACATGGGATACAGTCGCTGACATATCAACATGGCTTCCCCACTCGCCACTTTCAGGTCTTAGCTCATATGCCACCTTTTGAGGCAAACTGAGGCCTTCCCTACCACCCAGTAATGAAGTACAGGTCCCGACAACCCCAGAACCCCTTCCTTGCTTTATTTTTCTGCGTGAATGCTTATCATCTGGCATACTATCCCTTTTACCAGTTTATTTTTTCTTGGCTTTCTTTGCCCACGAGACTGGAAACTCACTCCATGAGGTCACTGTTGTCTCCACTAAAACAATGCCTGATACAAAATAAGTATTCAAGAGGTGTCTGTGTGGCTCAGTTGATTAAGCATCCCACTTCGGCTCAGGTCATGATCTCACCGTTGGTGAGTTTGAGCCCTTTGTGGGTCTCTGTGCTGAGGGCTCAGAGTCTGGAGCCTGCTTCAGATGCTGTGTCTCCCTCTTTCGCTGCCCCTCTCCCACTCATGCCCTTGCTCTCTCAAAACTAAATAAACATTAAAAACAAAAACAAAATGTGTTCAATAAACATTTATTGGATTAATGAATTTTTTTCAGAAACAATTCCTTTTTTAACACACAGTGGAACATTTTCCCCTATATACGTGACCTAATAAAATGATTATTATAATTCGCATCCATCTTGCTTGTAAAAGGACTATGACAGAATTGAGTTTCTGGTGTTAGGATTAATTCACCCAAGAACCTGCTATTTCAGCCACGCACCTACTATGTCAGTCAACACAGTTTTTTATTCTAAATCTAACATTTGCAAAGTCCTACAAGGTATATACACTGCCTATCTAAAAGAGGTTATGTCATAATTGGGAGGAGCCAGTTAAGGATTCAAGGACACTAAATGATGCTTTCAGAGATGAGTAGAGTTTGGATTGGTGGTGAGACAGAACAGCCGGAAAGAGCAATGGCAGAGACAATGATGAACGTGGAGGCTGAAACAGGCTGGGGGGCACCTGGTGGGCTGTGAGGACCTGGAAAAGAGCACTCACAATGGGGCTGTTGGAACAAGGAGGGAGGCAAAATGTAGAGGTCGTCAAGTGTCAGGCTGAGGGATGTACTCACATGTGTCTTAGTCCAGGATTCTGGTGGTGTTTAGTGAGAGGGAGCCAAGAGAGGTCATAGGATAAAGAGGATACAACTTTTCTATCATGCGAGTTTCACTTTAAATAATGAAGAGAAACTCACAGTCATGTTGACTATCACGATAGCAAACTGAATATGAAGTACGCAAAATTTTCTTGCATTCTTCAGTGAGGAATTTTCAAAGAAATGTTAGATTATTGGGGCGCCTGGGTGGCTCAGTCGGTGAAGCGTCCAACTTCAGCTCAGGTCATGATCTTACGGTTCCTAGGTTTGAGCGCCGTGTCGGGCTGTGTGCTGACAGCTCAGAGCCTGGAGCCTGCTTCAGATTCTGTGTCCCCCCTCTCTCTCTGCCCTTCACCTGCTAGTGATCTGTCTCTCTATCAAAAATAAATAATGAATATTAAAAAAATGATAAATTCTCCAAAAAAAAAAAAAAAGAAATGTTAGATTATTCTCCAATGTTTGTTCTCAGACACTAAGAGACAGAGGTTATTCTCTCTGCCTTTGGTATTCTTGAGAGAAAAATAGTAATTACTGCATTAAGTTTGTTTATTTTTTATTTATTTATTTTTAATTTTTTTGATGTTTTTTTAATTTGGGGGGGGTGGGAGGCGCAGAGGGAGACACACAGAACCTGAAGCAGGCTCCAGGCTCTGAGCTGTTAGCACAGACTCCTATGCAGGGCTTGAATCCACAAATTGCAAAATCATGGCCTGAGCCAAAGTCAGACACTTAACCAGCTGAGCCACCCAGGCACCGCATTTACTGCATTAAGTTTAAGAGTCATTATTTACTGGTTGTTGCACAGAGGAGGGGAGAGCCATGCTTCTAAAAACATTTACACTTGAAATCATTCCTCGTCTTAATAGTTTCATTCTCTCTAAATGTTGGAAATCTTTATTTTTATTCAGTTTTATAAAGCCAAATTGTGGTTTTATAATAAAAAACACCTCATGTTCTAGAAAGCAGAAACACTCAAAAAAAGGTTCATTAGAGGTGTCACTTAAAAGGCAAATGTTTCATTAAATCTTACCTCCTTGAAATGGAAGTAAATCTGCATGATTTTCTTTATTCTCACATAAAAAAGAAACAAATGCAATTCCCTTTCTTAACACAAGCACAATGGCCTGTTAATTAACATAAGAAATCCCTAATCTCCTATATGTATTTAACAATCTAGAGGAAATCAGATTTTTTTTTTTAAAGGATCTTTTAACTTTAAAAAAACACCATTGTCTGTAATTTGTCCTGTTGGTGAGAAAAGAGTCTTTGCATCACAAAATGCTGTGAAAGATCAAAATTACCACTAAAATGTAGACCCCTGCATTGTGTGGGTATACAGTCTAGCGGGGAGGGAGGATATTTACATGTATAAAACCTTAGAAATCCTTTGAAATCTTCTGACATTAATAAAATCATAGAATCTTAAAAGTTAGAAGGAACTTCAGCGTTATCCAGTTGAATCTCCTTCCTACACAATGCAAGAGCTCCCCAAAAGTCTTTTGTGTAGTAGCTACAGACTTGTGTATGGAGCGCTCCATAGTTCTGCAGGCAGTTGATTTCATTTGATTAATAAACTTCTGTTCACATCATAGTGATGTAAAATTTGTTTTGTTTTTAATACACACTAATAGGGGCGCCTGGGTGGCGCAGTCGGTTAAGCGTCCGACTTCAGCCAGGTCACGATCTCGCGGTCCGTGAGTTTGAGCCCCGCATCAGGCTCTGGGCTGATGGCTTGGAGCCTGGAGCCTGTTTCCGATTCTCCCTCTCTCTCTGCCCCTCCCCCATTCATGCTCTGTCTCTCTCTGTCCCAAAAATAAATAAATGTTGAAAAAAAAAATACACACTAATATACTTCCCTTGGTCCTGTTTCTAGCTTATATAGTCAGACATAATATTCTAAGCCCAGTTTCCTAACATGCATGCTACCCATTCAGATATGAGAAGACGTCTATACCATGCCTATTATTTTCTGGATTAGACATCTCTCTTCCACAGTCCTTCATATGACAAAGTTCTCATGTTGCACTGTATTGGTCAACTCCTTTGGAATATACTTGTGCCAAATAATGTCTGCCTTAAAGAGCAGTTCAGTGTATGGTGGAGCTATTAGTACAACTTAGTGAATTATCTCATTTCTCTAACATAAGAGGAAGAATTAGGGAGATGTGGTTTTTTTGCTGTTTTTCTTTGTTTCATATCTTATGTTTTAACCCATACATTAAATTTTTTGTTACATGCTCATTTTTTACAATATTTAGGAATCTGTTGACAGTGGTTTATATAAGACTTTGGGCCTGAGATTTACACACACCTTACTGATTTACAGACTACTGTATTTTGCTGAGTCAAAATGTAGTAATGTAGTCAATTGTTAGCCTAATTAAAAATATTAGAAGAGGTTTTCTTCAAAATGTTGGCAGTGTTTCTGCTATTTTTAAAAAAAAGGTGTTTATAGAGATTACATTTTGTTTCTTTATTTCAGTGTTTTCACTTAAAACAGCACTGTGAGTCAGAATTCATTTTGACTGCCTTCGGTGAAATTAGTAATGTCATTGGTCATTTTCTCTTTACAGATTGTTCAGTTCAGGGGAATGAAGAATTCAGAATAATTTTCATAAATGGATTCCAATATGAAGAATAAGAATAAGCTGAATATTTGATCTGCTTTGAAGAAACATATTTTGCATTTGTCTAGAATAATCTATAACAACCAAACCAATCAAAATGAATTCAACATTAATGTCCCAGGTTGAAAATCATTCAATCCTATGTAATTTTTCAGAGAATTCCCAGTTTTTGGCTTTTGAAAGTGACGATTGCCATCTGCCCTTGGCCATGATATTTACATTAGCTCTTGCTTATGGAGCTGTAATAATTCTTGGAGTCTCTGGAAACCTGGCGTTGATCATAATCATCTTGAAACAAAAGGAGATGAGAAATGTTACCAATATCCTGATAGTGAACCTTTCCTTCTCAGACTTGCTTGTTGCCATCATGTGTCTCCCCTTCACATTTGTCTACACATTAATGGACCACTGGGTTTTTGGTGAGGCAATGTGCAAATTGAATCCTTTTGTGCAATGTGTTTCAATCACTGTGTCCATTTTCTCTCTGGTTCTCATCGCCGTGGAGCGACATCAGCTGATAATCAACCCAAGAGGGTGGAGACCAAATAACAGACATGCTTACGTAGGTATTGCCATCATTTGGGTCCTTGCTGTGGTTTCTTCTCTACCTTTTCTCATCTATCAAGTACTGACCGATGAACCGTTCCAGAACGTGACACTTGATGCGTTCAAGGACAAGTACGTGTGCTTTGATAAATTTCCATCGGACTCTCATAGGTTGTCTTACACAACTCTCCTCTTGATGCTGCAGTATTTTGGCCCACTCTGTTTTATATTTATTTGCTACTTCAAGGTAAGAAAACTTCCCCCTGCCATTTCCATTTTAACCTTCTTTCCACAGAATTCCACATTAACTTGGTGGTTCTATTTGAACGTTTTTTTTCTCTCTCTCTGTAGATATATATACGCTTAAAAAGGAGAAACAATATGATGGACAAGATGAGAGACAATAAGTACAGGTCCAGTGAAACCAAAAGAATCAACATCATGCTGTTGTCCATTGTGGTAGCATTTGCCGTCTGCTGGCTGCCTCTTACCATCTTTAACACTGTGTTTGATTGGAATCATCAGATCATTGCTACGTGCAACCATAATCTACTATTCTTGCTCTGCCATCTCACAGCAATGATATCCACTTGTGTCAACCCCATATTTTATGGATTTCTCAACAAAAATTTCCAGAGAGACTTACAGTTCTTCTTTAACTTTTGTGATTTCCGGTCCCGGGATGATGACTATGAGACAATAGCCATGTCTACCATGCACACAGATGTTTCTAAGACTTCTTTGAAACAAGCAAGCCCAGTCGCATTTAAGAAAATCAACAATGATGATAACGAAAAAATCTGAAACTGCTCTAGCATATGGCCCCAGATGACTCCTGTTTAAAAACAAGCACAACCCACAACAATACTTTTATTTCCCCAAGGAGTGAGGTTGTAATCATTTAAGAAAGACCACGATTTGTTTGTCTTGCTTTTTACCGCTTTAATTGTAACTGTCATAATTAAATTCGGACAAAATGTATGGACTTTGGAATTTTCTGACATTAGTTTGACCAGACATCCTTGAAGTGCTTTTTGTAAACGTATGCATATAATACAAAGACTTTTATATTTGACTTGTTGGAATAAAATTGCTTTAAAGGACTACTACTGACTGACTTTAGAAGCACGGTATCTGATACGCATTAGATTGGGCTATCCTTATTTGATTAGGTTACACGGTCAATAGATTGGGCAATCCTGATGTAATGATAGACATTTCAGTCTGTTACAGAGGTGACAGCAAAAGCAGCATTCGAGATGTGGAGCTGAGTCTCTGTCTTACATACCTACAGTCTGAAGTCATTGAAGAGTGATTTGCATTTTTTTTTAAATTTAAGACAGGATTTAATTTGCTCCTGATTTATCACTTAAGATAAAAATGCATAAAAATACTTCTCAGCTGTGAATATCATGGGGAATTGGGCCACCCACAAGAATTAAGTGGGAAAGCAGTTCTCTAACTTCAAAACTATTTTGGTACCTGACAACCAAAGGGTTTCAGAGCAATTAATTTAACAAGCAAACTAGTAGTGCAGCAAATAGTTGAATTATATTCATCTGAATTGTTGGTCAAGAGGCTTTCCATTCTTCACAAACTGTTCAGTGTTTGTCCAGTTTTCTAGCCTAAATACATTTGTGGCTTAAAGGTATTTCCAACTTTCGATATGTAAAAACACAGTGTATTTTCCATACATCAGTGCCTATATAGTAACTCATTTTTAACTTTTTCAATGTCTGTTTTTCAAAGGAGGACACCAAAGTGTAATGTTAAAAGAATGTCCACCCTGGCTGGCAGGGATAAATACCTGAAAACTGAGAACACTTCATATAGCCCATTTTAACTTGTATAAACTGTGTGCCTTGTGTAGTTTTGTAAATAATGTACTGTCTAGAGTACTAAGTGGTTGTGTTATATTAATATACTTAATTTCATGCATCCTGTATTCATGATTGAGCCTCAGAGTCATTTGGAGAGAAGATATTTTAAAGAACAAGATACAACTTCAGTGTATTATAAACGTATTAAATGTGTTTGATTTTAGAAGGCAGACATTGTCTTTATTAAAATTGTTTTTGCTTTTTTTGAGTAGTCTCTTTTGTGTCTCTCTTCAAGCTTAAATTTTTTTTTTTTTTTTGACTCATGGTTTCCCTCTCATGATGTTCCCACAACATCCTATTTCTGCTTACTAATGAAACATTTCTACCCCGTGGTATAACCAATGATGTCCCAGTCTCCTTCCTCTGCTTCTTGAAGCTTCTTGGAGGCAGGAGCTATTTTACATGACTGCCCCCAGTGCATTTAACACAGTGCCATGTACTTAGAAGTTTTTCAAAAAAATTTTCTTAAACGAATGTATAATGACTAAATTGCGTTCCTTCTCATTTATGACCACATGGACTTTACATCTTGACATTTTTGTCCTCTTGAACTCATATTTATTGAAGAGATGTTTTCTCTTTTATTATGTTATTTCCCTTCTAAACTAAGCAAAAATGACATTTTAGATTCTAGCAACTTGCATGTTTCGTCCTGTAAGTCAAACACATGCAAACTTTTTACACTGAATGTACACATGAATGCAAATTCTAGCCTAGGAAAGACTTTTAGTTAACAAAGAGAAATTCTAAAACTAATTTTTAATGTTTTGATAATGTAATGATGCTGGAAAATATCATCTTTCCTTACCAAAACCTGGGATCTTTAACGTTTTTCTGCCTTGGGGGACTAATGGGAAATTTTGTCTTTCTCCACTTAGGTGCTATGGAAACAAATTGCTACCTGAGAACAGTCTTAATATGTAGGTGCATCTTTGTTGAAATGGCCATTTCTAAGATTCTCATTCAGCTGTGTAGGCTGCTGATTCCTTATCTTTACATAAATAATGAAGTGAATATAAAAGTCTTCTCTTGTATGCATAGATGTCAGTGACTTAATGGTAAAGTCTAGGGTCAACAACAGATCCAGAGTGATTCAGGAAGAATAAAGAGTATGCCTTCTAAACACATACTATGGAACCACTGGGTTTTCTTAAGCCCAAGAACAAAAATCAACTGTTTTAGTACAAGAGCATAATTATAATGTAGCTTGTATAAATTTGGAGTAAAATGATAATAGCTAGAATTTTTAAGCACGCAGCATGTTCCAAGTACTATGTCAAGTGTTTACCTGTGAGGATGCATGGCCACTATGACCACATAAGAGGAAACTGAAGCTCAGGTTGTAAAATTTGAGCCCCATGCTGAATGACAGGTGGAGTCAGAATCAAACCAACATCTGTCTAAACTAAGCACTACTACACTAAGGAATGAACTGAGCCTATGACAGAGTTTTAGAAAATAATTTGTTTTGTTTTCATTACAAGTTAAATTGTTAGGGCTTAACATTACCACTCACCTTTCTGACTTCAGCTGCAGAAAACAATGAGGTGAAGACAAGTTGAGAAAAAATGGCCATTAGGATCATATGTAGTCATAATTCCCTTCTGAATTAGAGATTTATACTTAAAAATGCAATTTGATTTTTCATATTAGTTTTATTTCTTTATAGTTAGCTGGGTATTCTCAACCCTTTTCTATTCCACAAATTTCCAAGGAAATATAAATCCATGTTCTATTATAATTTCAAAACTTGACAGCCAAATAAGTGTATATTTTGACAATGAAACTACTACACACACAGTAAAAGTAGCAGAAAGAAGCAAATTTAAGCTGGAGTTCTGGGGCTAACTGGCCTTGTTCCCTTACTGCAAAAAATGTGAGGTTATGGGCACTGGTAGATCTTTCCTTACAGCCAGGATTGCTTTTTCTCAGCAATCAATTGTTCTATAGTTTCTTGGTGAGATGTGATCTCTTTCACAATCTCATTTTCTTCATTTACTCATCCCCATGGCCCAGCAAACAGCATGTTGAGCTTAAGAGTCTGAGCCCATGAGAATAAGAGCCTTGCTTCCTAGGGAAAATTGATAATTTTCACAAATTAATGATTCCTTTAATATATCATGTGTAAGTATGTGTGCACATGCAACACATCGTATGAGAATGAATATATATTCTACAATACATTTATTTTCATTGCTATTCATTTCTTGATTTCTTCTAAAACTATCACCTATATAGCACTTTCACAAACTACAAAGTAGTACTATGGCTTTCCTCATTTCACAGACAAGGAAACTGAGGCATAAAGAGGTTATATAACTTACCAGTATCACTCAACTAGTATTGTTTTTTTGTTGTTGACAATTTTTCTTCAGCTTCTTCACCTCTCCCAGCCTTCATAGAACTGAAGAGTTAGGGCCTTGCTCTGGATGAGGCTTTGGCTTAAGGCAATGTGGCTGGTTTAATCTTCTATCCAACCCACTTGAATTTTATATCAGCAATAAAGCTGTTTCTTATTCATGTTTTTGCTGGAGTAGTACTTTTAATTTCTTTCAAGAACCTTTCCTGTGCATTCACAACTTGGCCAACTGGTACAAGAGGCCTAGCTTTTGGCTTATCTTGGCTTTTGACATGCCTTCTCATTAAGCTTAATCATTTATAGCTTTTGATTTAAAGTGAAAGACATACGACTCTTCCACTTGTACACTTAGAAGCCATTGTAGGGTTATTAATTGTCTTAGTTTCAATATTGTTGTGTTTCAGAGAATAGGGAGTTCAGAGGAGAAAAAGAGAGACAGGAACAGCTAGTCAGTGAAACAGAATACACACAACATGTGTTGATTAAGTTCTCCATCTCATATGGGCACAGTTTCCTGGTGCCCTTAAAGAATTACAATAGTAACATCAAAGTTTACCGATCACAAATCATCACAACAGATGTAATAATTACAGGGACATCTGGGTGGCTCAGTCAGTGGAGCCTCCAGCTCTTGATTTCGGCTCGGGTCATGATCCCACGGTTGTGCAATTGAGCCCTGTGTTGGGCTGCACACTGAGCATGGAGCCTGCTGGGGTCTCTCTCTCTCTCTCTCTCCCTCTCCCACCTTCTGCCCCTCTACTCATGCTCTCTCTCTCTCTCAAATAAAAGAAATAATATAAAATAAAAACTTTTAAAAAAAGGACAAAGTTTGAGATATTGTGAGAATTGGCAAAATGCAACATAGGGACATGAAGTGAGCAAATGCTATTGGAAAAATGGCACCAAGACTTGCTCAAAACAGGGTTGCCACAAAACTTCAATTTGTAAAAAAAAAACCAATGTCTCTGAAGCACAATAAATAAAGTGCAATAAAACTAGGTATGCCTCAGGGGCGCCTGGGTGGCTCAGTCGGTTAAGCGTCCGACTTCAGCCAGGTCACGATCTCGCGGTCCGTGAATTTGAGCCCCGCGTCAGGCTCTGGGCTGATGGCTCAGAGCCTGGAGCCTGTTTCCGATTCTCTGTCTCCCTCTCTCTCTGACCCTCCCCCGTTCATGCTCTGTCTCTCCCTGTCCCCAAAATAAATAAACGTTGAAAAAAAAAACTAGGTATTCCTCTATATGACATTCTGGAAAAGGCAAAACTTTGGAGACAGTAAAAAGATCAGTAGTTGCCAGGGTTTAGGGTGGAGAGGGATGTAGAGGCAGAGCACAGTGAATTGTTCGAGCAGTGAAACTACTCTGTATAATTCTATATTGATGGATATGTGTCATTATGTATTTGTCCAAACCCATAAAATGTACAATACTGAAAGTGAGCCCTCATGTAAATTATGGACTTTGGATGATGATATTGTGTTAATGTAGACCCTTTGTAACAAATATACTGCTTTTTTTTTCTGGGATTTTGATAGTGAGGGGAGATTGTGAGTATGTAGGTCAAGGAGTATACGGGTAATTTCTATACCTTTCACTAAATCACTTAATTTAGACACTGGTCTAAAAATTAAAGTCTTTTAAAAAAAAAGTAAGAAGAAAAAAAACTTCATACTTTTTAGCAGTCACTTCTCATTCCTTTATCATTCCTCCCCCTGGCAACTACAAGTCCGATTTCTGTCTCTATAAATTTGACAATTCTAGGCATTTTATTAGGTGGAATTTTCCAATATGTGGACTTTTGTTATTCGATTCTTTCACTTAGCATGATGTTCTCAAAGTTCATCCATAATGTAATATGTATCAATACTTCATTTCTATCCAACAATTGCACTATTAGGTATTTACCCAAAGAATACAAAATTACATATTCAAAGGGATACATGCACCTCAATGTTTATAGGCACATTATCAACAATAGCCAAACTATGGAGAGATCCCAAATATCCATCAACTGATGAATGGATGAATGGATAAGGAAGATGTGGACACACACACACACACACACACACACACACACACATATATAATGGAATATTACTCAGCCACCAGAAAGAATGAAATCTTGCCATTTGCAACAATGTGGATGGAGCTAACATATACTATGCTAAGAGAAATAAGCCAATCAGAGAAAGACAAATACCATATGATTTCACTTATATGTGAGATTTAAGAAACAAAACAGATGAACATATGGGATGGGACAGGGGAAGAGAGGGAAACCAACTACAAGAGACTCTTAACTATAGAGAACAAAATGAGAGTTGATGGAGGGAGGTAGATGAGAGATGGACTAGATGGGTGATAATCATTAATGAAGGCACTTGTGATGAGCACTGGGTGTTGAATGGAAGTGATGAATCACTGAATTCTACTCCTAAAACCAACGTTGCACTGTAGCTTAACTAACTAAAATTTAAATTAAAAACAAAGCAAAACAAAACAAAACAAAAAACATTGAAAAAATATCCACTGACTTAAATATTTTTTTAAAACTTCACTTCTTTTTTATTGCAAATAATATTCCAATATATAGATACACCATATTTTGTTGGTCTCCTCATATGTTGGTGGACATTTGGGCTGCCTTCACTTTTTTGGTTATTATGAATACTGCTGCTATGAACATTAATGTATAAGTTTTTATGTGAACATACATTTCCATTTCTCTTGTATATACACCCGAGAGTGGGTCATCTCTTAATTCTGTGTATAGCTTTTTGAAGAACTGCCAAATTATTTTCCAAAGCAGTTGCAT